CGTTCGAAAGACTATTATACCGTTTTAATGAATTTTCAATGGGAACATTAAAAAAATGTATGCTCTTGTCTGTGTGTTGGCAGCGATGGGAACTAAATCGATGAGAAATACAACACACTCGACCTGGTACACCAGCTTTTGACTTTATCAAACCTAAAATCATTTACATTTGCGCCTATTCACTTTCTTGCTTTCTCCTCACTCACTCTGCCTCTCTCTCCCACCAAGGTGTTGTGCTCATATTTCCGTTTTCTAATTTCTAATTTAATTAGGCGCATGCCGCACAACGCAGCTTGTAAAGCCCAACGCAATCAGCCGCAGTGTGTGCGGAACATACACAAAATATGTCCCTGTTGATTCACATGCAAACACACAAATAACACAAACAGCACTCACACAAGCACACATTCAGCCGAGCACGTACACCCACACACACTCGTTTCTGGTATTTACATATGAGCAACATTTTCATTACGTGCAACCCCCTCCCAAACGAGAAGTTATTGTAGCTGCCACAGTCTGTGCCCCCGTTTCATACGGCAACATTTTCTACAGCGACAATTTTTCATATTTTACACTTACGGCAACCCATTTGATTTAATTTTTTTCTGAAATGTTTTTCTGTAGTTGTTCTTAATTTTTGCACGCGTTGCAGCAACTGGCTGCCCGTCTCTGCATGAGCGTGTGCGTGTTTTGTGTTGTAATATTGGGTGATTGGGTGATCTAGGCGTTGATCAAGTTACTGGTTTATAATTATTTTAGTGTAATTAAAAGTTGGCCTTGGCAACTGCTGCCGCTTGCTGAATGGTGCCCAATCAGTGCGAACTTATATACCTCCACATTGCCGCCTGTTTCAGGTCAAATATTAAAGTGGCCCTGCAACTATTCCCCAAGTGCGGCACTTTCGCAGCTTTGCCAAAAAGTTCAATTTTCATTAACAGCATACACTCGCAGACACACACGCTGGCTGCACAGATGCGGGTTTTTTGCTGGGAAATGCAGTCAGCTATTCCTATGGCTCACACTTGATAAATGCAAGCCCGACGGACCGAGCGACCCTTTGACACCATAAAAGCCCATTAAACACAATTGAAATTGAAAAGTCATGCTGACTTTACTATTTACTCCCCTCGAAGCTTTGCTGGTATTTGCATATCGCCCACACAGTTTACATAATGTTTTACATAAATTTGACTTTTAATACTCAAGTTTGCCCAACCATTCGTCCATTTGCGTGTTCGTCCCTCTGTCTGGCTGTCGGTCGGTCCGTTTGTCTGCTAACAGCCATTAGGCCAAAGCTTTTATCAGCTGCGTTCCCCAAAAACTAGCAAACTTTTAACTTCGATTACTTGAAAATCTGACAAAATATTTAATCTGTCATGTGAGCTAAACAAAATACGACGACAAACTGCTTTTTCAGCACCAGTTAAATGAATACGACACAAAGAGAGTTTAATAATGATTATTGGGATATCTTAGTTAAAGATGCAAAAATCTAAAATGTGAACTATTATTATCTTAGATAAAGTCCACATTAGCTACTTTGTTCTAAAAGCTGTTGATAGCTTAATTATTCCACCGCTTTGATGTATGATAAAGTGTACTTATATGCATATCAACTATTATTTAAATTTAATCTATGCACCAATTAAAACCTGCCTTCAGTGTATATAAACGCAAACACTAATTATAGTATCGATGTTTTTGTTATACTGTATATACATATATAAATATATATGTGTGCAGGTGTATATGTATGCTGAAATTATATCGTGTTATCGCTTATCATACATAATTCTGGGTATCAGATAATTTTGCAACTATTGATGCATTTATACAAAAATTGTCCACCCTTTCATCCTTGGGGTTAAATTTGTGGGAGTAGGGAAGTGGGTCTTGAGCACGCCTAAAAGCTGATCACACTTCAACTTACAACACGATTTGAGTGTTGTGGGTCATACGTAGACACATCATAAATTCGGTTGGGGCTATGCGCCCACTATTTAGAACTTACTAATACACACATATCAGACACACATATCAGCTACACGCACACACACACACACACGCACACACACACACTCACCAGTATACACATACTCAGGATACGAGCTTTAATAATGGCTTGACCATTATCCTGCATATAAAGTTGTTCATTTCCTATGTTTTTTCAGCTTTGATTTTCCCTGCTACTCGGTCGTCATTTTGTATGCTGTGTAAGTTTGGCCGCTTTGCCAGGGCCACGGTCTTAACTTTTGGCCCCCGCATCGATTGTTGTTATTGCCATTGTGTTGCATACATAATAAATTTTATGAAACGTAAATTTTTATAGAGCCCAATATTTGGCACAGCAATAAAACGACAGCGCACAAACTTTCTCATTGGCGCTCCTGATGTATACGCGTTAACAATAAAAATCGAATGTTTTATTTATCTGCTCTATGATTTGTAAAGATTTCTTCTTATGGACCCATGTCATTGTTAAGTGGAACTGGTTTCGGGCTTGATTTGTAATTTCCTTTTAACAGCATTTATACAATCAATAATTAAATTGTAAAAAAATTGCTACACAAATAACTAGAGTTACATTATTCATTTTTTATATTATTTCCAAATTCCTGTTATCTTGTTAGTTTCATTAAACAGTATTGAATTTTTTTTATATCTTGCCTTAAGAGACGCTTTTGTCAATAAAACAGACAATATAATAAAATAGTTGTAAATACGATACGTTTGAATAAGGCCTGAGGAATTAACAAAATATGATACATTTCACAGTCTCAAAAAATTACTAGTAGTAAACTATGAATTTCAATTGACGAATTCCGTTCTTTGCAATGTCCTGCTATCGAAATAATTTTCAATTATTTTCATAAAAATGTTGTCGGTATGCAAGAAATGTTCACTACATATTATATGAATAAAAACAATGCATCGGAAATGCTTCGACAAAACATAAATGTGATATACGCACAAATTGATGAAGATACACACAATGACGAATAGAAACAATGCAAACAACTTTTTTGTTATATAAAGAAGCACAAATATTTTTTTAAATAAAACGAAACTGAGCCAAAACCGTGCGACCCACTGACACAAAGCACCATGCCAGCTGTTGATTTCGGCTTATTTTTTTTTATATACGAATTCACATTTAACGGCGAATCGTATCGCGTATTTAACTATTTGCTATTGTTGCACAACAACTACTGTGTACAAAGGGGCCATGGGTTGGAGGTTGGGTAGGTGACAGGAAATGCGAAAATGTTTTCAAATCGTTGAATCACAAAAATGTTGAGCGAATCGCTTGGAAAAACATGCCAATTCTATTCAAAGTAGGTGTGGTACTCGGCCTGGCACATACATGCCGTATTACGTATACGTATAAGCATTACGTTTACGTATACGCAACGCGAGCTTACCCAAGTTGGCAACAATTGATTTGCAAGGTTGAATTGTAAAATGCTTAAAATTGAAATAAAATTAAATTTATGTTGGCTTGGCCCTTACATTCATTTTCAATGCCTCATAATTGTATTACTTATTTGCATACAAAGCCTGCATAGTCTGCATGCTGAACACCTGTCGGCACGATAGAGTTGATGAATTTAATTTAAAGGACAGAATTATAGCACGCGGATATTCATGGAATATACGCCCTTTTGCCGCGTTGTTGTTGCCGTTGCATGGCATTAAATACGCATGGCCTTTAATAAAAATAATCAATTTGTACGTGAGCAGGAGCAGCAGAAATACCTTCAGATATGTTCGCTGGGTAATTAATTTCGAATTATGCCATGTACTTTAATGGACCATCAATGGGGTCAACCAACTAATTACGGTGGCATCTCTGGCATAGTGGGGGATGATGCGCATGCCACTTGGCCAGCAGCCGACTTGACCCAGTTCAACTCAAGCCTTCTAATGCACCTCAAGCATGAAAATGCCTTGCACTAAATCGACTCGTCGTCATAAACAGAGCGAGAAGGGCTCGTCAACGTCATAATCGAAAGCAACTTATGAGGGCTCACGGCTCATTAACACGCTCCCCGTTCACCAGCCAATCCAGACAACTTGATTGAACTTCAATGGCCTACGCCAGCCACGATATGGTGATGGCTGAAGGGACATGGGAAACCATGTTGAGATTAATGCTAATGTGACAACTTAATCGAAAGCCATTTATAAGTCATGTCAAGTCACCAGCTTCCTTCCCGACCATCATCCTTATGACGATAGTCGATGTCAAAGATGGCAGCGCCTTAACGTAGGCAACGGCAATGGCAACCAGCAATGGCAACCAGCTCTGGCCAACAGCTGGAAGCATGACAACGGCAAATCCATAAAAAAACACGTTAAATATTTGCATTAATTTTGGGCTAAGATAAGTCACCGAAAAAAAAACAAGCTTGTACATTGAAGTTAGAAGAGACTGACTGACAGGATACTCTTTTCTCAATTAAGGTGGTTGTTGTTGTTGGGGCCAAGTCGAATATATTTTGGATATATCCTTACATGATTTCATCGACAGTGTTATCTCTTCAAATAGTATTGTTTTAACTGATTATAAAACTTATTGCCGACCACACGCGCAGCACATGACGGACTAACTCAAAGGGTGGAAAATGAGTGAATAAGAAAACGATTTATTTTAAAGAAAGTGAAAACTCACTAAGGTAATTTCAGGTGATTTCGAGAAATACGCCAAGAGATTATGTGGGCTGAAGATAAATATAAGCTCAGTTGCACTCAACGCACCGTCATCAATGAATTATCATTCCATCAATAAAAGTTTGAATGTAAAGATATAGAGTATGGTAATATGAATAATATAGTAAATAAACTTTTGAATAATGGAAGTACTGCGAACATGCAGAATTAGACTTGGTACAAGCCCAATTGACTCTGTTGCTCCCCTTTTGAAACCAGGGTATTCAAATGGGAAGAGAACACGGAAAACAGGGACAGGGCGCACATTTCATTCGCCTGGCACTTACCCGGCAAGCCTGATGTGATGCTGATAAGAAGCAATAGTTGCGCTATCAGCTCTTTGATGCTACCGCTGCCGCCGCTGCTCTTCCTCCCTTCCTTGATGCTGTTCCTCTGCTGGTTGCTCATTTTGTTTGTCGTTTATCGAGCGTCTTGTTTGGTGCTTCTTCTTGCCTCTTATCGCGCGATGCGTTACTTTGTCAATGGCACAATGCGAAGCGCTCTCTGGCACTGGCTGCCCCTCCGTCACGCTGTCTCTGAATGTTGAATTCCGTGCGGCACTTGACTTTTATTGCACGGCACACAGTTTACCGTTACACTATATTTGGCTTGTAACAGCTCACAGTGGCGCCACCGAATTTGATTGCCGAATATTCTTTTATCTATTTTTTTGTTGTCTGGGTGCTGCTAATTTAGTTGTCTTACATGTGTTATTTGTTGCTAACAATAGTGCAACACGGCGTATGCTTGTTCTTGTCGTTTAATAGTAATACAAAATAAATAACGCGCACGCATGCCTCAACGTTCATCACAAAATTAAAATTGAGCAGAGCAATTAACAATTTCAACAGTTTTCCTAACGTTTTTTTTCGATTTTTTTTTTTTTGGTTTATTTTAATTGAATTTGTTGTATTTCAATTGACAGTTTTCGCACGGTGCTGCAAGCTATAAATTCAAACGTGGACTTACGTTAAGATTTGCATGAAATGAATATTCAAGAGCTGCCTGTGTGTACCAGCGATTGTTATTAATATTTCTTTTATATTATTTTTTTGTGACTCTCAATCGTTTGTTCTGCTTTTGGGGCATGCTGCAATTTCACTTTGTGTATTGATTTGTTTTTTGCTTTTTTTTTTGTTTTTGCTTGCTTTTAATCAGAAATTTACACAGTCACCGCATCGCGCGTCGGTGGCAAACAAATTGGCGGCGCGGCTATTGTTGTTGCAAGTTTTGTTGTTGTTGTAAGTGATTGTTGTATTTGTGTTGGCAACTGCAGCGCAGCCAAATGAAAGCACAATGAAAATTTTCAATCAAAACTTTTTACTCGCTTTCTGCAGTTGCTATTTTTGTAAGCGTTATTCTACTCTCTTTTTTAGCGCTCGTTAGCTGCGACGATTCTTTTGCTTTTTTCCACTTTTCTTCAATTTTTTTTTTTTTCAATTTTTAATGCAATTTCCACGCTTAACTGCACTTTTTGCCGTTTCGTCTGGCTATTTCTTTTGCTGATGCTGTTGCCTCCTGTCCCGTTTTATAGAGCATTTATTTACACGGACACGCTCACGCACACACCGACAACAAACAGTCACACACACAAGGACACGCACACACGCGCAGCGACGCACAGATATAAGCAAAATATGCACACAATTTGCATTGCGTTGTATTTCCCTCTATTTTCCTCGCTTTGTCTCTCTTTCTCTCTCTCTCTCTCTCTCTCTCTCTCTCTCTCTCTCTCTCTCTCCCTCTCACACACACTAATTCTCTGTCTCTTCTTTCCTTTGTCTCTTTGTTTTGTTTTGTTTCCTGTTGCTCGCCCAAATTCAAATTACTTTTGTCGTTATTGTTTGTATTGTTTTTGATTTTGTTGCCGCTTCTTCGTGTAGTTATTGTTGTTGTTGTTGTTGCATGTCATGCTCATTTCTTCAAATCACTTGGCAGTTCTGGCTGCTGGCGTTGACGTCATCAAGTTGTCGTCGTTGTGCATTGGACATGGCTCAGCGTGTGGCTGCCACAAGATGTTGCACATGCACAGCTTCGATTTGCAGCTCCACTTTCGATATGCGGCCTCGCCTTGCGCATTTTAACATTATTCCAAATGCAAACTGCCTGCAAAACAAGATAAAGCAAAAAAATCAACATCTAAATAAAGAATTATTGTTAAGTTCTGCATGTACTAGGACCAGAACATATTTATTGTAAATAGGCTAGTTGCCTTGCACAGAATTAAGTTCTGAATCTACTAGAATCAAAACCTATTTATTGTAAATATGCAGCTGCCTTACACAGAATTTAGAATTCCTATGAATGCACTCATTAGATTTAATGTTCAAGAGTTTGCTGTTATCATATATAAAGACTTTGTGGTAGCCAGACCAATAAGCTAATCCAGTCGTCTTTTTCCATTTCACGGTATACGATTCGCCCATGGCTGCAATGCCAAGTGCTGCATTCTCATGATTCCATATCTTAGGTCATATACAATAATATATAAATCTCACGGAAATTCCAAGTGACGTTGAGAAATATATAAATAAACAACAATAATTATTTAAAAGCATTTTAGCTGAAAAAAATACTCATCTAAATTGAAATTGAATCCCGCGATTGTCAACTGATATTAATAGCTAAACAAAGAATATTATTCTATTCAACAGAAAGTGAAAAATGTTTAACATTGTATCGTTAATTGAGATGCTCTCTGATTTCACATATAAGCTGCACACATATGTACACATATATATACATACAGAAAGCTTAAGATTGTTCATTGCCTAATTTGAAATTTCCTTTGAAGCAGCGCTCACTTCATCATAATTTATAAGCCAGCTCTACTTTATTTTTCTTTAAGACGCTTTAATTTTAAACTTTTCAGTTACGCACACAAACGTTCTTTTACGTACATGCTGAGTTTTGTGTAGGCCGCAAAGTCTTCGGCCAGAAAATGCGTCAGGAAGTTGACACCGTCTACGCACTAAAGAAGGTCGCAGCGATTGACTGATGGCTGTCTAGGCGTTTCAACTTGCGATTGCAGCAGTTGCTGTGTGGCTGTTGCAGTGGCTGGCAGCGGCAGCTGGGCGTTTGCTCCAGCTAAAGTGCAGAACAGAGACGACTATTATGCTTTATTTTCCGCTTGACACCTCTGGGCTGCGTTGCGCATTTCCTTTTCGCAGCCCCCAGCAGCATCAACCTTTTCTAGCTTATGCAAGACTTTTTCCCGACTGGCTTCTTGTGTGCGCTCGCACAAAGCATTTTTTATATACATCATTTTTTTTGTTGGCCCGCGCCTCACACGTACCCTTTTTTTGCTTTTTTAGCTAGCTGTATGGCAAGGTAGTACGAGGGGCATCTGTATGCATGGCGGCACCTCTGAGTGCTGTGGCACCTTCTTATCAACATGGTAGTACTGAATTCAACGTGCGGCAGAAAGAAGTTCTGATGTCGCCCTCGTCTGAATTGAAATTTATTATTCTGCTTTGTCGTGCGTGTGTGCCAGGCAATTTTGAGCCACCACCAGTACCAGACACCATCCGTGTTGCAGCAATCCTTTTGTGAGTGGGTATTTAATATTTTAATGTTGCGCCTACCCGCTGCCACCTTTGGCAGCAGCTAGCTGCCTTCTTATTTTAAAGCGTGTTAATTGCTTTCCAGCTGTGTGAATGGCACGGACGACCTTTGATGTGCGCAATTTTTTGCCTTTGCACTTAAGGATATTGTTTACATGTCTCAATTATCCTTTGAATTTGACGTGCTCGCACGCCATTTTGCTGTCGCGACCCCCATCCCCAACCACTCCACCTGCCTGGCAATAGCTAGGCAAAGTTAGAGATTCTGTTCGTCTACTTTTAAAGTAAACTTTTGACTACTTTGAAGTTCGATACCACAGTGCAGCATTGATATGGTATATCATGTAGTTGGATTGTAAAAGAGCGGGGGCAACACTTTTCAAATTACCACAAAAACAAAAATTCGAATGAATTTCCTGGAGATTCCTGGAGAGTGAAAAGCTTTCGAATAACAATGTGAAATAGCCTGGCTAATACAGCTAAACAGCTAAACTCAGTGGCCTTCCTGCTATGATACCCACAAATAGTTTTATTTATTTGTTATGCATAAGGCATATTTATTTATTCTATTAAACTTGAAATTAAATATGGGTAATAAGTTGGTTTAATTTTGGATCATCACGAAGTTTAACATGCTTTAAATTAAAACTATGTTCGTTGTTTTATTGGTCCCCAGGCAACGATAACTATAATTGGTTAAACCATATCAATTTTAAGTGCTAACCAACAACAACAACAACAATTAACTACATGGAAAATAATTTATTTTACAAATTAAAGAACTTTGTATGAATATGTTTTGCAAGAATTGTTATTAATATATTATATTTGTGTCATGCTGCACCTTGCAAGGCAGCATTAAGAGGAGAGAAATCAATAGCTTGTAAAATTTCTTAATAATATTTGCCTAAATCATATTTAAAATTTTGTTAAGAAGATGAGAAAAAGGAGAAAAACTAGATAAATTATAAAAAAAACATTTGAAAGCAGCTCTTGCTACAGAAATCGGCATATTTTTATAAATTGTATTTCTAAGCATTGCGATAATTTTTTACTCTTAAGGTCATTTTCAGAAAGCTGACTAATACCATCTCTAAAGAGTTTTTCAATATTTTTTAGGTTTCCAGAATATACTAAGTGATACTGGGGTAATAGCCAAAAATGAGTTTCTTTTTATGTTCTTGTTGTATAGCTAATTTATTAATTATGCTATAATATGATTTTAAGCCAGTTCTTTTTATATATATTTCTAGTTGGGTCTTCGAAATATAATTTTCTTTTAGTTATTTAACGGGTATTCGTTTGTAGTTTTGGGTTTTTGCGTGTCGGCAAGCCTTAAACGTGGCTCTTCCACTTGTTATGCAGGGGCTGTTTGACAACTACTGATTATATGCATAAGTCCGCCATTTTCATACTCGATTATGTTAGCCTAATGCGTGTGCTAATTCAGGGGCTACCCGCTCGCACCACTAGCCCCTTCCCTAGCCAGCACTAATTTCAGATAGTCATCGCTGAGCTAGAGGCAATTTGTTAGCTAACTCCGCTTAAGAAGCCGGCGTCGTCCTTTACGGGTTTTACTTCTGCTAGATGAGACACAAAAAAAGTTGTTGCTTTTTTTTTTTGCTGACATTTGCCGTTTCGCCGCTTAGCGCTTATTGAGCGAAGGCAGGGACGGTGGCGTATGTGTGGGTGTGCACCTTCTGGTAGCAAGAAATTATGCAAAGATTGTGTGCACAACTTGAGACAAACCCTCGACTAGAGCCAACAGCCGCCAAGAAGGGCAACCAAGTTTCTCCGGACCAGAGCTGAGGTCAGTTCGGGCTCAAAGTTTGCCGAGTGACATGTAAATCCTGCCCCAGGCTGTGCACCATTTTGCTTAAAAGCAAAGAGTTGGCCGCAAAAAAATAAAATAAATAAATAAAAAAGGAAAACTCAGTTGACATGATGATAATTTGGCGTACTCCGACCGTGGCCATCAGACGTTGCCCAGGAGCCACATTTTCTTTCATGAAAAATCAGTTAAATGAGTTTGTTTACACGTCTCAGCTGCGCCGCTGCCAACGCTGCTACCGCTGCTGCCGCGGCGAGGCGTGGCAAAAAACAAGAGGCATATAAAAAACACTCTTTAAATGTATGCAAAGTATAAAGGACAACGCGGGGAAGGGCGATGTTTGCGGTGGCGACGATACATTGTCTGGACGCTGTGGCGGCGACGGCCTGTTTTTCTGCGCAACTAAATATAAGAAAAATCCCCATGCAATTTCCCTCACTTTTGGTATATCCTGCTAGAGGGTATGAAAGTAATGTTGTGAAGTATGTTACGACAAGTTCTGTGCATACAACATTTTGTATAAGGAACATTTTAAAGATAGAATATTTGTAGCTATCGATCTGAATTCCTCATATCTGTTTGTTTTATTTAATTTCATATATAGTTAAAGGAAAAATTGGAGAGTAATTGTGTGAGAATATGTTTGATAATATAGTAAGTTTAAGTTTATCGAAAAAGCGTATCAACAGCTTTTTTGGATTTTGGAATGTAAAAATATTATAGATGACAGGATTTATTATGTTTTTTTTTAAGATTTCCTAGAGCGGATCAAGATAATACACAAGGGTATTAAACTGTCGACTTTTCAAATAAAACAACTCATTTTTTCTGGCCTTTTCTTTCGATTTTTTGTGAAACTTGATACGGTACGTTGGTAGAGCCTAAAAGTATGCAGCATGTAATTTGCGTTTTGTTTGCCGTAGCCGTTGTTGCCGTTTGCTTTATGTAATTTGCATGTAAACATGTGCTTATTTACGTGCCTCCTGGCAACCACACACACACATGCACACACTCACATTTGCGTTTTTGTTGTTGGGTGAAGCGAATTTACGCCAAACATCAAATGATTTTGTTTAACATATTTTGTTATTAGGTGTAGAAATGTGCATATTTTGCTCAAGCCTTCGCTTTTCCTTAGAAAATTTTACACAAACTCACTTTATGTGTGCGTGTGTCTAAGTGTGTGTGTGTGTGTGTGTGTGTGTGTGTGTGTGTGTGTGCTTTAACCCCTTTTGGTTGCCTGTGCGCCTGTGTGTCTGTGCGATGTTCGTGCTTACAGTAAATTTCCGTTTGCCATCATTCAGGGCAGGGCAGGCATACTTCACTTGAACTTTGTGTAGCGTGAACTTCTTAAATTATTGGCTAAGGCAATAAACTGCATAACCGGACTGGCACGGACGGGCTCCAATGCCTCGATTGGTACCCTGTGAACTTTGGCAGATTTCTTTATTTTTTGGGTAGGGTGTCCAGGGGTGAGAGCTAAGCGAATTATGTTTTGTGAAAGTTCAAACGGATTTTCGAGTCTGCTGCGAACTGCTGCCATGTGACAATTGACAGTTGACACAGAACTTTTCCCAATTAGTTCTGTCACGTCACGCCTACAATGGCCTAGCTTCAGTTTTGCATTAACCAACACTGGAAATTGGCAGGGTTCTTTCAGCTGCATGTCACGTCAACTGTATGCCATGGCTTCCAATTTGTTTAGATGGCTA